GAGGAACTGCTTGTGGAGCAGGTTCTGCTCTGAGCGAGAAGGGGCAAAGCCGTCTCGGCCAATGAAACCGTACAAGAACATATCCTACCGGGCAGGCTTTGGACAGATGGGTTTTATGGGATCTGTTTGGCCTAATAATGCAAAAGCTCAGTCTGGAATGAGTGACAGATCCTTCATCTCCCACTGTTTGGGACTAGTTCTTTTCTTTGGCAGTTTCTGTGTATCCCCCTGCTCATGAGGTGTAGTGTTACTGGCTTCAGCTGAGGCCGTGAGATGAAGAGCATGAGTGAAGGGGATGCCATCACCCTCATTCATGTGCACGTGTGTGCACCTCCTCTTTGCTGCAGACAGTGCAAGGCACTCCACTGCACATTTCAGGCTAGGCTATGATCTCATCTAGTAGGCTACTTTGTTATTACTGTTTTCTCCTACTTTTGTAGGGGATTGTTGTCCTGGGCCCATGCCAGGAACGACACTGGGGTTTGACTCTGCTTTGAGTTGGATGCAGGACTAGGCGATTTCCAGAGATCCCTTTCAACCTAAATAAGCTCTATGTTTATAATTTTAAGCCCACTCAGGAATACAAAAGGTGTAACTCAAGGCAGCCATTCATCAGGTATAGCTAGGACGGCTCCTGCACGGGTGCTAAGGTACTAATATGTAGTGGTGGTGAATTTGTCTATCCCCCACCACATAAGACAGGGTGTGCACTTGACAGGGCAGAGCTAATGAGTGGTCTTCCTATCTTTAGTCTCAAAAATAACGAAATATCTTCTCCATTCATGTCTGTTATCCCTTAGCAATCTGAAATGCATCACTTGGCACCAATGTCTCCGTGTGAGCACCCATGCCTATCCTGACTAAGATGCACAGAAGGAAAAGAGAAAAACCACAGGAGATGAAGTAAACACAGATGGAGGAGAAAACACCTTGTCACGTCCCCTCTCAATGTATTTTGATCCAAGCAGCCCTGCTTCCTATACTAAGCATCTTTTTCTGATCCTTTTCAGAAGTGGATATTGCTGTAGGCAGACTCTCAGTCCTTACGCACAGGAGAGAATAACTTGATTTACTGTGCTAGACTTCCTGTCGGTTCCTGACCCTCTGAAACTGCAGATCTGAAGTAACTCCAGTTTCAGTGCTGCTATGCCGCACTTAAGCTGACATACTGAGTACAGAGCCTGGGTCTCAGGTAGGAGCCAAAATCATGCTATCACAAACTCAGTTTCCTCTGTGCATCCACTCCTAAAGGTCTGCCATGAAAGGTGTGACACGAGAAGTGAAAATCCCAAGGAGCTGCCTCTGCATTTCTGTGGATATGTTCAAACTACAGGGCAGATGGGGATTCTGGCCATCTGGCCCGTGATTTCCTTCTGATCCATATTATCTTTTCATGAGAAGAGGGTGGGAATGGCGGTAAGGATAGTGAGTACCAGACGGCAAATCTGAGGATTATCTAATCTGGTTCTGCCTCAGTTTTCCTACATGCAAAATAGAGGAAGGAATACTAATTCACTCTTCAGGAGCGTGTGAGGATTTAATTCAGATTGGGAAAAATAAGATAGAGTTAAAAAAGGGTGCTGAGCACAAAGATACTATTTATTATGATAAAAGGAAAAATTACCATATCCTGTGTTTTACCTATTCGTATCTTGTTTGGTAGACTTAAATAAGTCATGATCTTTATTTGCAGAGTAGCTATGAAAATGCATGAGCATGAGTTGTTGTTGGTGACCCTTTGTACAAAACTGGGCCTCTGAATATCCCTGGTCTGGTATAGACCAACGGGGAAAGATCTATATTTTAAGTTTAAAATGCGATATTCAAGGTCAAAGACAGCAACTTCCAAAAAAAACAAAACTCAGGTGGCCATTCAGGAGCGCAGCATGTGCATGTGGCTGCTCTTACAGCAGGTTGCAGCAGGCTCGAAGCAAAATAGCAGCTCTCTCCCGAGTTCATAGCAACTTTAGATGTTTAATATACAGAAAATAAATGTTTGACAACTTGAAACTATATACATCAGAGCTATAATGAATATTGTTTTACAGTGATATTTTTAGTCTCAACTGAAATAGCTGAAAGTCGGTGCTGGCAGCAGAACACTATCTTGCAAAAGTGATTGATAGAGTAAGGTTTGTTACTGCCTTTAATTAAAATATATGCTCCTACACAACTCCCTCATCTCTCATCAAAACTTCTCTTAAATTACTCTACATTTATTAAGCACATAAATTATTGATAAATAGCCAGAATTTTTTACAGTTTATTCTTAGCCCAGTCAACTAGTTTTGACCTTGACTTCTACAGAAGCAAAACATAGTACTAATATATTTCAAGTTTTTCCATCTCAGTTCTCTTCATATGAAAATGTATTTACCTTTTGCTTCATATTTTTTCTGCAGCTATCCATGCAGTGTCTTGTTTTGTTCTTGTTTTGTGTTTTGTTTTCTTTATTTTATTTTATTTTATTTTATTTTATTTAACTACATTTTATTTTATTTTATTATTTTGCTTTATTTATTTCTATAGCGCCTTCTAATCATTTTTTCAGCATCTTCTTTCATTTAATATATTCTCTTTGTCAGTGTTTGCTCCAAAGCTGCATATTTTACATTTATCTGAATTAGATCTCATTTCTACTTATAGCATTAATCTTGTATTTAAATTGTCCCTTCATCTGGCTAGTCCTGATTTCTGGTGGTTTCATCTATAAGCTATTCATCTATATGCAATTTTTAATATAGCAGTCTAACTTATTTATAAAAATACCAAAAAGCCTGCAGACACAAAACAGATCTTTCCATAAATCAGTGACCCAGATTTGCTTTGAGCAGTTTTCAGCTGGAGTACATTTACTGTGACAACCCTTAATTCATTTTGGGAAAGATGAATATGTAGCAAGAAGTGGTGCTGGACAATTTATAATATTTAAGTCTCTTTTCCCTTGTGTTTCAAACATTGTTCCTTACAGAACTGATAGGTAAACGTCTTTGTAGGAGGACCATAAAAAAAAAAAAAAAAAAAAAAACTCCTATTGAAATTGTATGCTAAAAGCAAATTAGGCACTTCAAATTAAAGTCATAATTACTTTCAGTTTTTAAATCGTTACTTCACATCAGCAAACTTCCATATGAAATACTACCTATGTGAATTAAAGAGTGTGAACCTTGCAATATCATCTGCTGGGTGCACACTCCTGTTGGGTTTTGCATCTGGGGGACTGGAGCTGTTCGCACATTAAATCTGGACTCCATAGCAGTATTGCAGTTGAATCTGTCTCCCTACTTTTGTGACTCAGTTTTTATTTGCATACTGTGGACATACATGTGAGATCCCACATTTTACGAACAAGTTGAAAATATTTTCCAGCGCTTCGGTATATGATGAGTTAACTATTTGTGAATGTTCTCCCACTGTTATATGAGAGATGTCATGTCAAAATACTGTTTCACTGTTGTCAAACATCATTACGCTGTAGATGGTCAACATTTCATAGAAATTTTAGGCTAGAATGTGCCAAAGTATGGTTAAAACACATATGTTAAAACTTTTATCCTGGGCTACAACTAGGACCTTCCTCATAACTAAAATCAGCTTGTCTTTCCTTAATTCATCTCTTTCTACTTATTAGAGCTCAGTGCCTACTACATGTTCTAATGTTTTCCTTTAAAATTGAGTAGTGAGTCCTTTAACATCTCCTTAACAGAAATAGGAGGGAAATGTGGGCACTACCAGCTCTCTTTTCCAGAGGATGTGATTTTTTTCAAAATCTTATAAAGTCAGAAGCTCTGTATTCTCCATCACCAGAAATTCCCTTTCCCTCTGTATATTGTGAACATTTTAACTATATGTCCGCATGCACTAGAAAGTGGGCATGATGATCTGAGATATGGCACGATTGGATAGCATCTGACTTTTCTTTAGACATTTTATGCTGACTTTTTTTTAATAAGACATGTGCTAGGCACTCTCTATATAAGTATATATTTATCCTTGAGCTTCAGTGGCTTGGTTGCAGTTAAATGATTCTGAGATGCTCTGGTCCGAAAGCATGGGAAGACAAGAATAGGAGATTTCTAAGTAATCCAGTTCCGTGTCTGGTGATCAAAGCCTCGGTGCTATATAACTACCTTTAGAAAACTACTGTACTCCATTTTGAAGGTAGTTGCCCTTTGTCCCTCCTCCTCTTCTTCAGAGGCAGTCACAAAAGCTCCTTGCTCTGAAAATCACTCACCTTGCAATTTTCCATCTTTTTGGTATTCGTACCCCAGACAAACCACACTCCTCCGTTCTTTCACCCCCGGCCTGTTCCCTCTCAGCCTTCATTTTGCAAAGTTAAACAAGCCAAGTTGTTATACGCTCTCACTTCTGACAAGCGCTCTGTTCCTCCGACCAGCCTGGAAGCCTTTGCTGTCAGTTATTCCAATTTGGCCTGTAACTTTAGGCACAGCCGAAACGTCCGGAGGAACAAGTAAATATCCCTGATTGATGATATTTTCTGGCAATGGTCACATGCTGCTATGTTTTTAGCTCAAGATTATGAGTTTACATTTCATGTCATCACAGGAATACTGAGTTAACAACGTTTGGCTACTTTTAAGAAACTGGGTTTAGATCGGTAAGTGGTGGGTGATTAAGATGTACAATTATATATAAAAAAAGGGACATTTAATATCGTTTTTGTTATTTTCATTAAAATTTTTGGTGAGATTACGCCAAGCACATTCTGAATATGAAAGAGTTTTAAGGAGGGAAAAAGAAACGTATTGTTTCAGGCAGACATGTCAAAGTTCCGCCAACGAGAAATGAAAAATTATTCACCCAAAACCAGAGCAACGCTGAGCATGTGGAGGAGATTTTGAAATATAAGACTTCCAAAGCATAGGCAAAGAGAAGGTGTAGCATACAAATATTTTCCTTTTCTTTTCTTCTTGTGTCTGTCACTACCCAGCATCCAGAAGTGGAGACTCTTTGTACAGAACAGACAGTGAATGGTTAATAAGTAACTATTAAGTAAGGATGTATAGTTTTAAACATGACCACCGTGGCCTCAGAAACTGCTGTGCAGAAAGCCAGTCTGAGCACGGTTTGAACAGAGACAGAAGTTGTATGTTGAACAGTTGCTTTATTAAATTGGTTGTGTCATTTTCCTCACCCAGTGCTAGACCATCCCAGCATGGACATCTTCAGCTGAAGTACTTGTTCAGATGTCCCTTTATAATTAATGGAGAAGAACGGTCTGTTTCAGGATGCTACTCAATGCCTTAGGCACTGCTTTAGGATGAGATATATTGCTCCCTGTGCTTCACTGTTGACTAGATCTCCACTGACTGCAATGGGACTCAAGGGTGACTAATCCCATACACACAACCCACATTTTTATTCTTTTCCATCAGCTGAATTGTAATGATAATGTGAAATTAAATTTTTACAGTCATTTGACTCCTGCAATTGATATTTGCCGACTGCTTGACTGGGATTTCTTGTTTTGTGTCTGCAGCATTCAAGACTGAGATGATCCCCGACGTCAGTGTTGCTCAAGCCTAGGTTAGGTGGGCCTGGAAAAGAGGATGAGAATATGTGTTATGCCCAACACAGCGCCGTAGTATAGTTATGCAGATTTCTCAGCAATTTATTTAAGGATATTTTCCCATGTTACAGAGCACTGTCCTCATGTTACTTACACTTTTAACACCATATGAGATTAGATATGAGGTCCCATGTGGATTTGGGAGATCTGCAGGGCAGAAACAGTATTCATGCAGAGGTTAGAAAGAGAGCTATCTCTTACCCAGTATAACAAACCTCAGGGACATTACTGGCCTTTGAATAACTCCAGTTTCTGTCTGAACAGTTCAGCAAATCCCTGTTGCATCCTACTAAGCAACATTATTTCTTTACAAGTTTTATGCTCCCATTCTGCTAATCCAGTCACCAAAGATCATCTTTTGCTAGTCAACAGATTACCAATGTCAACATTAGCTGAATTATCAGTGCCTGTGACAGCCCGTGTCTAATGAAAGTGAAAAGGGGTTTATTGATAGGAGCAAAGATATATTAAAGCACAATGAGCAAAAGTCAATTGTTAATGTGAGTGGCATTTTCTAAAGAGAAGACTAATGTGTCAGAATCCGATTAAAAACTTTTTTGAAACCTGAACGTGGAGCTGTAATTGCTTTTTTTAAGACTAAATGCACATGTACTTGACTGTGATAAAAATAAACTAGTTTGAAACACACAGCACTGAATAAATAAAATGAACAATAAAGAGCCCCAGGAAGACAAGTTTATTCAGGTATAACAAAAAATAGTTAAAGCCTTTTGATTTGCTGAAATATAGAATACAGAAATTTAACATTACAGTAAGAGGTATGTGAGAAAAATGAGAGCACACTTTGCAATTTGCAAAAAGGAATAACGTAGGCTGAAGAAACGCAGGAGTGCTGTAAAGACTAATGACAATCTGATAGCGAAAGGAAGAGTGCAAGATGCCAGTGCATAAGCAGAAGTAAAGAAAAATAATTAGAAAATTAATCTCTTAGCTTAGGATCAATGAAAAGCAGGATGACACCCAGTGTAAGAGTCATCATGCAATTCTTCTACAGGCAATGGATATAAATTTGTTTTAAAATTTCCAAAATTCATCAAAAATCGCCAGTGTTCATTTTCTGCTCAGAATCTAGGAACTAGGAGAGATGAGAAAATGATATCTTCTTTATCTTCACCTCTACCTCCCTCCTTTTTTTCTCTTGGACATGGCACATACCCATTTGGTCGATTTGCAATTAACTTGAATCCTCTCTCAAAAAGCTCTTATAAACATTTGAGGAAAGCATCTTCCAAAAGATGACTAGCTCAGAAGATGACGTGAGCTGGCTAAATGTAGCCTTTAATCATCAGTGGCTCTGCATGTGGTTATCTTTGTCACGGGAAGAGCTGGTAAGAAGTTGGCATTTCTTTATGAGAGAAATTACTGACTTCTGGCTTAAATATTGAATTAGAATATTTTCTGAGAGCCAAAGAAGCATTCAAATTAGTATTTGCTGCCTCATGGGGGCTGAAATTGATCTTTTTCTGCAACAGGCAGGATTTCTTCCTGCATGTTGTATTTTCCATGGTGCAATATTGTTTTTTGCTTTCTTATGAAGTGGGGATGCAGCTAAATTGTCTCTGACCATGACAAATCAAAGGACTTGGAGTCTCACCAGAACAACGTTATTACACGCTGCTGAGGGACAGCATGTAATAGCTCAACTGAAGCACAGCTGACATGGCTACACGGCTTTAGGACCAAAGTTGATTCAGGTCAGGGTACCTCAGAGTAAAATTCATTTCTCCTCACCGTTTTGCCTTCCCTGAGAATTACCAAACCCATAACAGAAATAGCATAATTTTCAGACTTATTTTCTTCTGGCATGAAGTCTGAAGTTTTATTTCTGCAGATAGTACCGTATCACTAAAAAAAAGTTCTCCACAGTACAATGATTTCAATTAAATATTGTCAGCTAGCTCCAGCCATCTGATACCTATACCTGAATAAATATGATCTCAGTAAAGAAGGGAGGGGAATGATCTGAAATAATTCTGTTTAACCCATGGGGGATCTTACTTTCCCATAATGTAACTTATCATTATTACATAAGTTTTGTGCTTGCACTGGAAGAGAAATCGTGAATGAAGCAGTAAGTATGTGAGCTTTGTCATGCCATGCACTGACACATGAAAAGACACTGACGCACTGAATGTCGTCTTTGGGGCCAAAGACCAAGTCGTGTTATGGAGGGGGTAAACGTTGTGCCATTCACTTTACAGAGGCAGCTCACCTCGTGTTGTCTGCCTAAAACACAATTAGGTTTTCCCAAGCACGTATAATTTTATACTCAAGCAATTCACTAGAAAGCTCTCCCCTCCGTCTCAGTTGGCATGGTGGCGTCATCTCAGAGTACAAAATACCGCTACAAAAGCAGAAAAACACCTTGTGATAATGCTTACCATGGTACTAGCATTAGAGATGTTGACACTTCTTCTGTTCTGCTTTTTTACAAGCATTACTCATGAGTCTACTGAAATCATTATCTGGAATCCGCGTGAAAGGTAATGCTCTCAAGTCTTTCTTTTTCTTTTTTGTTCTTTTTCAAAAATTTGGTGACAAGGGAGAACAAATAACGCATTGTTCTGAGTCAAAAAACAACAGGAATGCATGAAATACCTATCCCACTTTCCATTCAGATGTTGTTTTTCCTAGAAATTTTTGGAAGTTCTCTGCTAATTCAGAGATATCCACTGGCAAGGTGCATTTCTTACTTCTGATTTGAACCTTGTTTGAAGACTCTAGCTTGTGAGTGGAGTAATCTGAAAGAGAGGAATCCTGAAAGATACCACATGGAAGTCACTTCATACCTGACTAACGTTTCTGTTAAAAAACAAGCAAGGGAATGAAGGAGGAAAGTTAACCTGAGCAGTACTATTTTGATAGGCTATTAATCAGCACGCTAGGAAACCACCACCACCAGCTGCATTGCCTGTGGCCTCCTTCTTCTTTCATACCCTTCTAGAAATAGACAAAGCCAAAACACATTCAATTCCAATGTGAGGTCTGAAAACATTGTACCAATAGTGTAAGTGTCTCACCCCCCCCTACCCCCTAACAATTTTCTGCAGGATCAGTTCAGATGTGAATGTAGCCCATAAACTACTTGGCAATAGTGATTTGCTCACTTTTACAGTATTTGGTTGGGGTGAAAAGTAACTTTTCTTTCTTTCACTGGGAGGAAGTAGCTTCACATTTAATATCGGGTGAAGAGCACGTGCATCAATAATTAACATGGAGGCAACAACGCACTGCAAATCTGAACGCAGCCATAGCATATTTGGCTGTCTATACTTTTATGATATAATTCAAGCTTCACCTTGCTTTTCACATTTTCAAAGCATTCCTCCAAGAAATCCAGTCTCTTGAAGTAAATGGCGTTTATAGTTGTATTACTGAGAAGTACAAATCATTCCTTGATACATCTGGAGAAATGCTTGAGGTTAGAGAGCTTGCGACATTTACCACAGAACGTTTCTGAAGGCAGCAAGCAGTCCGCTTTAGGTTTTCTGGATCTATCGCTATTTTTGGATCCTTGCAGAGTGTCCAGTTACTCTCCCTTCTCAGTAGCCTTTCTTATAATACGGCTTGTAAAGGCTAATCATATACTAAAATATGTATTCATGCCTAATAAGGATTTATTTATAAAAGAATCTTAATATGAAGAAAAACTGATTTCTCTTTAAGGATGCAGTGAGAACCTCATGATTTCATTACAGTTTGAAGAAGAAATGAGGAAAAGCTTGATAGCTTTACCTGGAGTTTGCTTTGAATGTTGAGGTCATGCTTAAAACTGGGAAGTACAAATCTAGGGGATACAAAATACTTGTACATAATGTGGCTCAAACTTTCCTCTTAACGCCTCTTGACTAAAATCAAGAAGCGTTAACCCTGCCCGTCTCATGAGAGCGTTGGCGTTGTTGCTTAGTTTTGGGGATCTGAATTGGCAAATCCAGATGTAATATATCTGCACGTATCTTCCCTTAACAGGAATTAAAATGATAAATGTAACCCCAGAGAGAAAGAGATCCACTTAGTTGTTCGTTGCCATCATCAAAGATTGAGACCTGACTTTCTTTGATCAGTAATTCTATCTATTCTTTGTCTTGTCAAACTTGGATACTTTTTAGTCTTTTTCTATACTTCTTTCTGTTTTCCCGTTGGAGCTTGGGGCAAAACAATAAAACCTAATTAAAAAAGAAACAAAAAACAATAATACAGTGGCTGTTTCATTGGATGTCACGATATACATGAAAGGCAGAGAAAATTGGATTGTGAAAAAGTAGGGTATTTTCATTCCACTATATTGTAGAAAGTTATCTGTCATTTTCTGTCCCTGGGGGTGAAAGGATGCCTGGGCAGAATCAGAGGCAGCCAACATCCATCATGTTAAGTCTGTTTTCTAATAACTGAGATCATATATATCAAGACCCTATTCAAGCTTTTTGATAAAATATTACTTGTAGAAGAGAGAATCTGAGCAGATAACTTTGTGAGGTTTGTAGGACTACTCAATTTGTTCTGAATATTCAATTAGACATCATTAGTCATCTTTCTGCCTTCTTTCTCTCTATCCTCTTCACCTCTAGGTCCTGCAAAGTCTTCATAGCTCTGCTTCTTTTTGCAATCTTCTGGGTTAAAAATAAGACTATCAATCAGAGACATTTTTACCTTTTTCTTGCACATATTTTCCCAGTACTACATTGGCATTGTGCTCCCTGAGGTCTTTCTGTAGACAAGTTGAACATAAGCCAGAAACGTGTCCCGTGGCAAAGGTGGCCAAAAGGATCCTGAGCTTCATTAGGCAGATCATCACCAGCAGATTGAGGGAGGTGACCTTTCCCCTCTACTCTGTACTGCTGAGGCCATATCTGGAGTCCTGGGATATCTGCTGAGCTCCCCAGGACAGGAGAGAGATGGATATACTGGAGCGAGTCCAGTGAAGGGCTACTAAGATGATGAAGGGAT